CGCCGCCGCCGCCGCCCCCCCCCCCGCCGCCGCCACCACCACCCCCGCCCGCACCGCCGCCGCCGCCGCCACCGCCGCCGCCGCCACTGCTGCCGCCGCCGCCGCCGCAACCGCCGCCGCCGCAACCACCACCACCGCCGGCCGCCACCAGTTAAAAGGGTTTTCAGCACTCAATCCACTTCTTCAGTCGGGTCGTACATGCCCCTTCTCCAACGTCGAGTTTGCTCGTCCCAAGCCATGCGCAGAGGATCATCATGATGATAATACCAGGGCTGAGTTTCCTCGGTCTGAGACACGTAACGAAAAGAAGGGTCCACGTCAAAAGGAGGTACTGGATTCGAAGGATCATAGTCAAGGTGTATGACCTCCGCATCTGAGATGAAGTCGTAACCGAGTCAGTGCCCTTGGAGCCTGTGGAGGACTTGCCTTCTTTGTCGCCGGCCTTGCCACCGTGCTTTCCGCCTTTCGGAGGATGTGCGGGTTCAGCAGGACGTTGAGAACCAGAAGTGGTAGTGCGAGGAGTTGCCTCTCCCTGTGGAGAGCTTGCCCTTGGAGCTGGGTCGGTTGATGACCCGGCAGCTTTCCTTCAGTCCGCAGACTCTTTGATGCTATCAGGGTTAAGGTTCATATAGCTTTCGTCCGTAATTACTCCCGAATATTGGTTCGCGTGAACCTCGATGAGAAGAGGAGTATGGCTGTCGTAATCCCGGTCGTTGAGCATGTAGGCGGCTGCAGTGGAATTGAGGACCCATTCGGACACGCTGACCTTGAACTCCCTCTTACAAGGTGTTGCTTCGGCCCACTGCGTATCATCCACGGAATGTCCCCATTCAAAGACTGTAGCGGTGATCGGCTCCAAGTTGGGAAAAGTGTTCCAATCCTGTTGGGTGCAATCCCTGTACTGATCCTCGTACTGCTTCAGCAAACAGAAAGAATTGGCGGTCACAGGTTGTACTTTCGGACAGCATAACTGGAAACACTTGTCGCTTTCGGACCATGCCTCCAAGAAGTAGTCCAAGACGCTCTGATACATTCCGCCTCTGATGTCAGCAGAACCCTGCTTCCTGCCAGATGCACGGTAGGCCGTATTGGCACCTCCTCCGATAAGATCCACCTGATACTTCAGGCAATCTGTAAACATCGTGGCGAGCGCTTCTTGGGCGAGGGCAATCCTGCCAGCAGCAACACCGCTTTCCAGATGAAAGACGCAAACTCTAATAGAAGAGCTGCCGGCTCTGGTCAACGGGGTTGTTAGAGACGCATCGGGAAAGTCCCCGCGATTGCCGCTCTGACCTGCAGGAAGCGTCTTGCCGTACTTAATGTCCACAACCATGTATGCACATGGGAGATGATGGTGGGCTACCCCGACCTGTGTCGAGCCTGCCAACTGTACCATCGATGATCCAACTCTGTTGGTACGGCAACCGACAAGAAGATCTCCGCCTTTGTTGCAGATAGTTACAGATAGTTCGCCATCCGCGACTGTATAGGAATTTCATTTCATCGGCATTGATGATCTTCCCTGCTTCACAAAGCGTGAACACATGAGCTTTGGCCTGAGCGATGGACTTGATCAGGGAACCGCGGCTCACCTCAGTTGAGTCGTATTCGATGTTGTCTGCAAGTACACTTGGGGCTGACTTCTTGCGTCGACATGTCGCCGAGGTTGACAATCCGCGCAGTATACTTTGTTTGCTCGTGTGTGCCGGAATAGGTGCATGCGCTGCACCTCGAGCTTTTTGACCTCTCGATGAGAGCGGCCATCACCTCCAGCGCGGAAGCACGGGACCTCCATCTGGCGATCATCAAGAGTAGATCGCACATCCCCGGATCTGAAGATCACGTCGTTCCGTGAGGGACGGCGGGTGTAAATCGGGTCCATCTTAATCATCGAAGTAAATAGCCCTGCTTCGTTGAGCGCATACTTCTGTCGAAGATGTGGAGGAACAAAGCACCGACATGATCCGTCGTCACCGAATCATGGTAGAGACCATTCTGGCCGTGGCCATACTTCTGACCCGCCTATCGCATAAGCGGACTGGTCCGTTCGATGCTGTGGTGTCTTTCCCAATCTTCGGCAAACTCCGGAGTGTAAAGAAGTCCTTCTTGAGATGGCGCCAAAGTGCGCGCGACGGCGTGCGCGCACACGGCCCTAGAAGTCCTTCTTTGTCCTTCTGGGCCTCCAGGTTGTCGAACGCTCGTTCGCTTTCCGCTTCTGCACTGCAAGCAGTCCTGGTGGCCTCTGCGAGTTTCTCCGGATCGACGACGGCCTTGGTTTTCCCCCAAATGCCTTGATCATGTAGAACTTCATCTTCATCGTCGTCTTCTTTGACATCCTTTCCGGGAGAAATATCAGGCATGGATTCCTCACCCTGTGGTGAGCCTTCCTCCTTTGACTCTCCAGCGTTTTCCATGTGCACGTCCTTGGTAGGATCCGATTCCCCTCCCTGATTGCCCTCCTTGACCCCAGACGCTTTTCCCTGAGAAGAGCCTTCTGGAGCATCGGTCTCCATGGGTGCACCGGTGCCCTCTTCAGCCATAAGTCCGCTGGTGGGTCCTTGGAACTGCAGGAGGTGTCCATCGGAGTAGCCGAAAATTCTCGAGAATCTCTTCGACCATGAGGTCTCCTCGAAGATTTCGGCCTGTTGAGCTCGCGTAGACTCATAGGCAGCCAGGTCCCTATGGGCCTTTCGAGCGAATTTGCTCGTGAAGCCCTTCTCCTGCGTACCTTGGAGTGTTTTCTCGAGGACGGCCAAGATATACGGTCCATTGAAAGGCTGCTTCAGAGGCAAGTCGTAAAGCTGATAGCCTTCTTCGGTGGTGACCATATACTTAGATACTTGCGACGACCTCCGTGTCGTGCGGCTTCGTGAAGAAATCCTGGCCGTAGGCGTCGGCAATCACACCAGTGAGAAAAGAAGGAGAAGTCGTCCCTGACATACCCGGTCTCCAAGCATACATCCCTTTCCGAGCATTCATCGGACTTAGACTTCCTGTCGCGCTTGTCCTCAGGATCCGGGCGAGTGAATCTGATGTCGCGGAATAGCGGTCTGAACTCGCGTCCTTGGGCTTCCTGCAAGTCTTTGAGCATCCCGGATAAACCGGTCGGATGTCGGGACTTGTTCCTTTCCCAGGGAGAAAGGTAGCCTTGGGAGTACTTCTTCGGCTTGACCATCAGCTCGTTGAACTAGTGTCCAATGACTTTTCCCAATTCGAACGCTTTCAGAAAGAAGTGGACGCGGTAGCCGCTCATCGGGCGCTGGAGCCACGTCACAGCAGCTTTCGTGTGGCCTCCGGGAGGCTATCCCAGGTGACCTTGACGAGGGAGTCGCCGTAGAAAGTGTGCAGTTTGTCTCCTCGGTCGTTCATACGATGAAGAAGGCCATGGTGGAACAAATGCCAAGGATTTGTCCTCGCCCTTTTTGAGGATCTCATTGAGCTCCTCCTGCTGCTGGATCTGGGTCGCATTGATTTTGCCATGGACGGTGTCCCCAGCTTGGAAAGCGTATCGAACGCTTCCCTTGGCCTGCATCTAGAGTGGGTACCTCTCCCTGTGGAGAGCCTCAGACTACTACTACTACTACTACTACTACTACTACTACTAATACTACTACTACTACTACTACTACTACTACTACTACTACTACTACTACTACCGCTACTATAACTACGAAGGGTCTCGGCTGGAGCGAAAAAGAGCAGTTAGATCGGTTCACGACATGGCCTTGCGGATTGCGCCTGTGGTGACTTTGTTCATTCTGCTTTAGTCTGATCTTATGGAGAACATCCAGCTGTGCCGGTCCCAATTCCGGCAGCCATCGCTACCTATGCAAGCGCGACTTCGAACGATCGCAGAGATCTCGTAGACCCCAGGGTTGAGTCCCTTTCCACCCAGGGCTCGCAAGTTGTTCGCCCAGTGGCACTTCCACAGGCGGCCTCGAAACGCACTGGAGGGACTGCTAGTAAACCTGAAGTGTACAATCAGCAAAGGAAAAGAGCCTTCAGGCGAGCTGGAAGGCGAGCCGAAGTTCATGGAGGGACTTACTACAAAGGGCGCTGGCATACGGCGCAAGAGCTGGGCACCACTCAGCAAGCAGAGGCTGGCACGGAGGAAACCTTACCTCCACACCGGGCAATCTCAACTGCAAGCTCATCAAAGTCGGGAAGGCCTGTGGCCCCGAGAATCAAAGTAAGAAGCTTTAACGCTGGAGGAGTTTCTGCAGAGGTCTACAACAATCTGTGTCACTGGCTGCAGCACAAGTGTGCAGAAGAGGTGGTTATTCTTCAGGAACTGTATCATGGATGCGGTCGAGAGGAGGGTTCTTGGAAGATCCCGGGCTGGACCTTTTTCGTTACG